TTATTAAGTTGTGGAGCCGAATTATTGCAGATCATCATTATTGCCACTTGAAGGAGATGGTCACGGATCTTTCCGCAATATTCTTCATTTAGGATCCTAATTAATCTAAGGACTGTTTAGGAATTTATATTCTCACAAAATTCTATTAAGAAATTGTAATTCTTGTATAATTCGATTTTAGCCTAAATTATCTTATAAATAGGGAGCCTTCCTTAGGCTTTCTGATTATCTTCAAAAAGAGAGAAAGAAAGCTAGAAAAGATAAGAGTACGATTTTATCTTATAAACATTATTCACCATAGTGAATTACTACAATGGCGAGAGATGGAGTAGTCTTACATTGATGCAAATCTCTATAAATCTTGTGTGCTCTTGAGTGTTTATTTTTATTTTTATTTTTAAATTGATTACTCTGGTGAAATAGAATTAGGGATTGTAATTTTCAGCATTTATAAAATCAGTAACAAAGTCCTGCAATAATGCAAAGTTGTTAATTTGTTATTTGATAGTTACTCTCTCTTTTATTTTATTTTTTATTTTTTTTAGACAAACACTAGCCACAAAAATAGTAAAGAATTATTAATCTTATTTCATTATAAATGGGTACCAATATATAGTAGGTACTCATATCCCATGGTTATAATTCAATAAAGTTATAGATAGTCTATTATTCATTTTAAAATTCTTTTACATATTTTATTCTCCATGCATTCGTCTTCATAAGATGCCTTTCTTTTGTTGGCCACCCTCGATTGAGCTCCGAACTCAAGTTTCTTCTTTTAGGCCTTAATTTTCATACAATCCCTTATGTTCATAGTCGACCTTGAAAAAGATGAGTTGAAGTGAATTATCGATTAAATTAACATGTTGAGAATGGACATGATGAGTACTCATTGAGTGTTGTTCATAATAGTTCTAATGTAGAGAGTTTTAAAGCAAAAAAAGGTTATCCTCCATGATCAAAGTATCAGACAGCTCAAACTCTGAACTATACTTCATTGTAGCCTTAGCTCTTCCATTCGCAAACTTTCTACCTAAGATCAATTTATAGCCAATGAGTTGAATTTTTTATGAAACTTTAAAACTAAAAGCTTTAGAACTTAAAAACCTAAATTCCTATATCGCTAAGATCCTCTAGTCAAATCATTTAGATAATTATTAAATGCAGACAATACCTTAATTCATTGATAATAATTCCTTATTACTAGATCTTGATTCCGAATCTTAAATTTTGAAGTGTGAACTATAATCTTTTCATGTTTAGTAGTAAGTTCATTTTTGCACATTTATTGGGCACTTAATTTGATATATTTATTGATTAAATGAATGAAATTCTACTCACAATTAGATAAAATTTATTTTTGTAGGTCAAAAATCACCCATGGAATAAGAACAAGACAAAATGAGGAAAAAGATGGACTAAAAGCGTTCAAAATTGTAAAGTTTGAGACCAAAGTGCATAAGATCAAGGTTGAAGGACGTTGGATACATTTTGTGAAGGGCATGACTAACATGAAAGTCAAAATTTGATACCACTTTATTACTTGAATGCGACCCATGCACTTACGATTTGACTTCCTAAACGAACATTTGGCTTCTTCACTTTTAATCTTAAAGTTTGCTTTCTATGATTTTTTTAATTCTCGTTCTTGGTTTGCTTCTTGATCCATAGTCATGATTCTTAAATTCACTTTTCTTGATTCTTGATTACGATTTCAAGATCTTGATTATGGGTATTGGATCTTCCTTTTTAATATACTTTCTCTTAATTATTCTTGTGTTGATGAGAGGCACAAAAAATGAAATGTCGCATATGAATTGGGGACCATAACCCTATTTATATTTTTATATGTGGTTTTATCTATGAAGGAAACACAACCTTAATGGATTTGATCTCCACACATGTAATTCGGCCCACATATAGTGCGAGGCACAAAGAATGAGATGTCGCAAATGAAATAGAGACAATCTTATCAAAATAAATTATTTGTCTTTATTATCGGTTATGGACAATAAAATTTAGATCGAATTATCAATCAAATCTTTCTAAATTTAACAACTTAAACACTCAATTTAGGATATCAAGTTGATCGATGAACAAAATTCAAGATCAAATTAATACAAATAGTATGTCAAAAATATAAACTAATATTTTATTTCAAAATATTATGAGTATAAATAAATTTATTTGATGGACAAACACTTATCTAGGGATATCAACGAAACGAGCTGAAACTCGATCTTGGCTCGAGTAAAAATGGTTCCAGCTTTTTTGATCGAGTCGAGTCGAGCCGAGCTTTTGTTCAACCAAAAAATTTAAGCTCGACTTAAACTTTTGACTCAAACTTTATCGAGCAGGCTCGTAACTTTTTTCTATTAAAAAAAAGTGAATACTAGCCTGCTGAAAAGGCAGCACTGTAGCAACAGTAGTAGCTACTGACAATACTAGGTTGCTATAGTAGCTACCTACGATTTTTTTATTTATTTTAGAATCTGCTCACGGGCCAAAATGGCCCATGTGGCTCGGGTTGACTCTCCAAAATGAGGCTTGGACTGAGTGTCAACTCGATAGAATAGATTTGTGAGCCAGGCCGGCTCAAGCTTTTTCTCGAGTCGAGACACAGACCGCCTGAGCTGACTAGCCAATTTGACATAACTGCATTTATCCAACTGCCAAACGATGTATGCCACCCTCCATCCCTAACAACGACGTGATCACGTTAAATACTAAATTATCTTTTCAAATTCGTCAGGATCAACTTATCCTTAAAGCTATAATCAATCTCTCTCTCCCACTATTTAAATAAAAATTACAGAGAGATAGATATCTAGAAATCGACGGTGTTGGTGAGTTTTTGAAGGTTTTGTCTAGGGTGGCTATTGTTTTTGTAATCATAAGTGTACGATGTCAATTAATAAGTAATAAAGTGAATCTAAAATTTCTAATTATCGTTCCCAAGAGAAATACTATGCATAACTTCTATTCGAGTGAAGAAAATTAAAATTGATTTTAATTACAATGCTAATTACTATAAACATATGAAAATAATTTTAAAAAAATACAAAAATCGGTAATTTCGTGTTTTAGTTAATGTATAAAAATTGGTTAAGGATTCACAAGTTCAACATAACAATTCCCTTAATCTCAATCGCCAAGTTTCAACAACAATCACTTATGTGTACATGGTCGATTTCTTCTAAATGAATGAATTTACTTTCAAGTTCGGGCCAATCCTATTGAAATAAGCCCTTGTCTAGGCGCCATTTTAATGAGTTTTTAAGGAGGGAGGGGAATGTATTTCGTAATAGAGATTCTTTGGAGAATTATGGTTAAAAAAGAAGAAAATTTTTGGATTTACATGTAATATTATTGTATTAAAGGAATATGTGGTTGAAAAGAAGAAATGGAAAAATGCATTAAAATTAAAATGAAGCCTAAACTCGGGCTAAGTCAATTGATTATATCTTAAATCAGGATAAGCCTTAACCAAAAGCAATCAATCCCCAAAGAATGCAGTTAAAGATCATTAAAATTAGTACAAATGTATTTCTAGCTTCCACCCAAATTTTGATTTTTACTACATTGTCTAAACAAATAACTCACATCTCAATATATTACCATTACATATCAATAAATTAGTGATTAAGTAATTCATTAACATGATTAATAAAAGTAAAGACTATACACAGCCATTAATTGAACTTCATAACTTCATAATCAAATTTAAGGTTCAAAACTAGTTTACATCGATCACCCTACTTCTAGTTTTGTTAAACATCATGCGAGAAGAAAAATACCAAAAAAATTTGGAGTACATTGCCAAATTTGAAGGAAAAACAAGAAAAAGATCAAGATTTTGCCCTAAGGATCGCCTTCTTCCACGCTAAATTTTGGAAAACTCTAGTTTCTTGATTTTCTTTCCTTATATTTTCTCCTTTAATTGAAAATTATAAACTCTTATTCTATTCCACCAAAAAAATGTAGAGAAAAATAAACACTCAAAAACACACAAAATTTATAGAAGTTTGTCTCAATATAAGACTATGTTCTCTCCTGCATTTATAGCAATTTACTATGATGAAAAGGGTTTACAAAAAAAAAAAAAAAAAAATCGCACACTTATCTTCTCTAAACTTCTTTCTCTTTTTTATGATAATAATAAAGTCTAAAGACAACTCCCTATAAGATAAATTAGGAAAAAATTAAATTTTACAAGGACTCCAATTTTTCAATCATATTTTACAAGAATTCAAATTCTTAAACGGTACTTAATGAACTGTAGGTCAACAACTAGCTCAGGGAAGTGACAATAACTAAGATCAACAATAATTAAACTCAACAACTTAACATTATTCTCTCTTAAAATATATCTTGGAACCATTGTAATCCCTGTGTTTTCACTATATTTTTATAGCAGTGAAAGTGCCTCGAAAACCCTCACAAAAATTTCCTTGAAATTTAGCTCCTATTTGACAATCATTATTTGAAAAAAAAAATTACATATTCATTTTTAGCCACATATTTACACAATAAAATATTTTGCACATAAATTCAAAATTTTTCCTTACATTTTACATTTTCAAAAAATCACTATTCAAAACACTATTTTTCCCAAATAGTGATTCCCAAACAAGGGATAAATTGGAAAACCTAACTTTTGCCCAAGAGGCCACGGTTTTGACAGAATTGTGGTTTGATCACTGTTTGAAATAGCTATTGATCTTGGTCAATCCTGAAGTTTCCAGCTTGTTTCAATTTGGTCATGCTTCATGATTTTCGTCCTGTTTTGATCCTTTTTTGTCCTAATCTTCAATATTGATTGCGTAACTTCAGAAAGCATCCATATTGGTCCTCGAACCTCCATATTTAGTCAAAATTGGTTTTCCACAAAACGTAATCAAGGAAATAAACTTGTATTACAAATACACAAGAAAATAAATTTCCACAAGCCTTGAAAATGACATAAATACAAAGGAATTAAATAGACGATAATATAACTATTCCACAAGACAAAAATCAAAGATTCGATTTAATTTGGATGATACTATTGTTTTTTGTCCACAATGAGAATGACTAAGGTTGTCTGACTAGAATACAATAACTGGTACAATAATCATCCCACCAAAGAAAGAGAACAAGACATAAACAAACATGAATTCCAACACTTGAAAATGACGCCAACTTTCACAATCTTTTCTAGCCGCTACAATAAGATATCATCATCACCAATCCACCTAATCAACAATAATCTAAATATTAAATTATAATCCGAACCTAACTAATTAATCATCCAACTTTAGTGTCTCTTTTTTTCTTCAACTTTACAACATAGATATCAATATTATTATATATTCCTATCAAGAAACACTAACCATGCTATCTCCACTACTGCTACTAAAGCTAGCTTGCATTGCCTGGAAACCTGACGGTCGTGGCAGCGGCAGTGGTGGAACTCGCGGTGGTGATATGGATAGGTTAAATGTTAAAGGGAGAGGCTCAGCTGTAGGGATGGTATTCTTGTTTAGGTCTAAATTGGCCATTTTTGAAGATGGAGGGGGTGGGAGATTTGGAATTGGACAAATGAGATTGGTTGGACTTTTCGTTACTAGTGTGAGATTCTCCATTGAATTTTCTCTTGAGATTGGTACAAGAAAAGCTGACATTGGGACATTTTCATTATTTTTGCTTAGATTTTGTTGTTCAATGGTTGGTGGGTGGTATGAATTTTCTTGATGCTTTTGTTCTTCAATTTTTGAACTCAAAACCTGTTAAAATGCAAATGAAAGGAAGGAACATTAAACCCAAAAATTAAAATTAAAATTTTTTTGAAAGGTAAAAAATTAAAAATCTACATTAATTTCAGATTAAAGGAAGACAAACAGATTACAATTGGGCAAAGAAATTTTTTAACTCTGTCTAGGAATCACTACTTTCAAGATTTGTCGCGTGATATGAACCTAGACAATCATTACCACTTGTCATATCAAATAAACTAAAGTTCGCCACAATAAAAAGAAAATATTACTCTCAAAAAATTTAGAATTAATTATGAGAATATTTTTCATCCTCTTGTTTTTCTTCAAAACCGTGTGAATGAAAATATAAAAAATCGAATAGACAATTTTTACTTGTACTAATAAAAACATTGATACTTGCTTATGTTTAAAAGATAATACTTAAGGAAGCAAGTAAAAAAGTAACTTTTAAAAATTAAGTTGTCAAAAAGAAACGTAGAAGACATGAATTAACTAATTAATTTACCGTATCAGTGGTGATGTCAAAGAGACTAGATCTCCGGCGCCGACGGCTATGGTTATTCCGGCGGAGGAAGTACTTTTGAGCATGGCTTGCAACCTGTGTAGGCGTACGTGTCTTCACAAAATTTCTTGAAATACCTCTCCAATCTCCTTTCCCTACTTTCTGCAACCCTAATAGAAATAACCTGTGTTCCTCCTCAGTCCATGGCACTCCTGTTCAATTTTTTCGTAGTTTAGCAAACAAAGAGAAATCAATCAGAGACCCGCAACTTAAATAATAAATTGATCCCATCTCTTTAAATTTTTAAATAAAAAAGTTCTAGGTTATTTTTATTAGGGTTAGACAATAACTAGATCCGTTTATAACTCTCCAATTAGTAGTTGAATTTTGAGGTTGACTACTTGACCGTCTCTGTCAAACCACCATCTCGTCAACCTTATAAGATGAAACCAAAAACTCAATACACACCTCTTTTCCGTTCGTGACTCCGGCCGGAAGGGTGAACAATATCGTCGGAAGCATAGCCGGCAGCCACATCATTGCTGGAGTCATGGGGTTGCTCATACTGAACCAGGTTAATCATACTAGCACTCTTCCTAAATGATCCTTCCATGACTTTTACACCAAACAGCATGAACCCTTTGCCCCCGCTGGCCTCCGGCGAGTTCTGATCCTTCTTTCCACCGGACGGAGACGCCGCTGCCTCCATTGAGAAATATGTTAACGAATACTAGAGTTTGGGCAAATTAATGGAATTTTAGCCCATATAAGGTATTGAGGACGAAATAGCAAAGGAATGAAAATTCTTTAGAAATGAACCCGTTTGTGTTTTTATAACCGGTTTGCGTTGACGTTCTGTTGAGGGTTTTGTGCAGTGCTCAATAAATTTTGTAAGTTTTTGATTGGCTAAGGAAAAATATTCCACTGAGAGTCTAAGGAGAGCCGTGTGTTGATTCCCATCTCGTGTTTAAGAATCAATGCCATCCGAATAATCATGTCCTGTTTTTCATTTTAGAATTTTTTTATTAAAGAGTTTTAAGGGAAAAAAAAAAATTTAATATTTTTTTAGTTATTGTTATGGATCAAAATTAACTTTATGAAAAGATAGACTTTTACAAATAAGAGATAAAGAATATAAAAAATCATCTTTATCCAAGAAACTCTTTATTTTTAAAGAACATATTATATCATTTAGAGAGTATTCATAAATTTAGAAAGTTAAAATTTTAAAGCAGTCTAAAAAGCTATTTATATATAGAGTAATGCTTGGGGATACATAATGGACACCATAATGGTGTCCATAATGAGCAAGAAGAATAATCCTTATATATAATATTTAGGGTCTGTTCGGTAGTGATTTTAAGAATTGATATTTAGACCGTTAGGAAAAAAGGGGGCCACCTGTGAGAGAAGAAGTCGGAAATTATAGCTGAAATAGTGAAATAACGGTTAAAAAATTAATCTTTTGGAGTGAAAAATCACTCCCAGACAGGGCTTTTTATTTTATTACTACCAAAAAATATTTATTATTTTTTCTATCTTTTATTTTAACTAACATTTCTCTAAATTATTTTATTATTTTCCTACATTGAAAATTGAAACACTTTGAATACATTTAATTATAAAATTTAGATAATCAAACCTACTCTCCAAATTAAAATGTTAATTTATGAAGTCTCCTGAGACATTATTTTAAGCGTTGACTCTTTAAAATAGAGAGCATTCCATCTCACGTTTAAAAAGTTTTTGGGAGATCCTCTAATGAGTTTTATAAAAATATTGACTTGAGCGCAGATGCTACAATACGTGAAGTTTCTCAAAAACATTCCGAAATAACTTTTCAAGATTATGGTGATTAAGAAATCTTTATTAGATAAACTATATTGTTTAAATTCCATCTTATGCTAAATATGTCCTAAGGTATTCTATTCGTGATTCGGTGCGCGCATATAAAATGATTATTATAATTTTATTATAGAAGTCCAAATATCTTTTATACGAGTTCTTAATAGTTATAGTTAGTTGAACCTAATAACATGATTATTAAAAGTCATAAGTACGAAGCCACAAATTTGGAATCAAAGAGTATGCTGTGTGCATATATCACACCAACAAATGTATTGTAATCATAGGATTATCTCTCCTCTGATTTTTGAAGTATCCTAGTATTTAGAGCCTGTTTGGGAGTGATTTTGAGAATTGATTTTTTGACCGTTAAAAGAAACGTGGAGTCCACATGTGAGAGAAGAAGTCAAATATGACAGCTGAAATAGTGAAATAACGATCAAAAAATCAATTTTTTGGAGCAAAAAATCGCTCCCAAACAAGCTGTTAATCTAACAATGAAAAAATATTTTTGAATTCTATTGGTGGGAATGAAAATAAGAATTGAATGTATCTAAAATATGAAATTGACATGTTCATGAATCCTATGTTATGGGCATATAAAAAAGGGATGATGGAGGAAGAGGGTGGCTATCCACCGTCCAAATGGCATATTCTCCACTTTCCAAACTGCTCGTCTCTATTACTTTGTCATCCCTTTAGTTACCTTTCGTGGTGGGTTGGATTTGTGAGGATAAGGCGTATTTTGACCCCACCGCACCTTTACCTTGTCTCTAGTCTATCTTTTTTTGAGTTAGTACACTACTCCGCCTTTTATTTTTGTCCACATAAATTCTGTTTATTAATTTAAACTTTGAGAAATGGATATGACCTAAGAAAATAATCTTTTTTTATGGTTAAGGAGTGGGACAATATGGGATGGAGTATTATTGTGTACATGAGTCATATAGAATGGAACACATGTTTACAGGAAGAAATAGACCGATGTTGGAGCAAAGCAACATCGACTTCTCGGATTTAATTTACTGTCTGTTTTCCCATGACGCTAAATAGGTTGGGAACGCAGAGGCAACACCCTCGGATAACAAGGGACCCGCCTCGCCCAAACCTGTTTTTAAACAAGTAGTCGCTAAATCCTCGTACTCGCAAGTCAAAAGGGGAACAAATCATGTTTACATACGTTTTCTATATTTAAATCTATGGCCTTTCCTATCTCATCTTTTGGCTATAAAAACAAAAGAATAATGTTATATGCAGTCGTTCACTGCCACGGTCGTATGCCACGATTGCGGCAGTAAATGATTGCAAATAGAATTACTCAAAACAAAAGGATCCGATACAAAGTATAAATTTAAACAATCAAAAAATGAAAAATAATGAATGATCAGTGTGTATTTCTACGTTACACTAGCAGCTGCTCTCCAATACCTAAATAATATGAGAGGAAGGCCTCTCCCACGGCAACATACCTGTTGAAACATCAACCAAATTGGCCGAAACAAAATCTCTCAACCCGTTGTCCCAAACCTCGCAAAACTTGATTGGCCAATCAGGCGGTTCAATGGCCTCCGTCCCCAACCCGGGTACTCGGTCTCTAGAACCTTCATTTTGGTTTTGTTGCCAGTCAGCGACGTAGGTAGCAACCCGTCTGTAGAACTTAGCTCGAAAAACCTCCCACACTTGGTATTTATAGTGATTGATTACTGCAGTGCTCTGATGTAAATTCAGGTACTTAAATCCCTTCCTCAAGTGGAAATGGTGCACCACATTGAGGAGTGTATTGTCTAGCGCATCAGGTCGAATAATCGATTTGTGCCTCTCGGGACTCTGAAGTCGACAAGTGTAACCTCCGGTAACTCCCTGCGAGGGTGGTGAGTTCAGCCCTGAGGGTCCAAAGCTGTGGCAAGAAGTTCTGATTTCTGCAATACTTCTTGATGATGATGAAATGTTTGCTACTAAGGTTCTAAGTGAATTCTGACCTGCGTAACCAAATTTCCTGAATCTTTTGTGTCTTGGTTTTGAATACGGAAAGTAGAAGAATTCATCTACATCCATGAATGAAACCCAATTGCATTCGTCCTTTGCTCTCAAAACACAATGTGAAAAACCTGCTTCTTGCGTCTTAATCCAAGGCCATACGTGCCTAGTGACATTGTAACCCTCGAGATCAAGTTCCTGAATAACCTCTTCAATCCCATCATCACTATTGTTATCGTAAATGAACCACCTCTCCACTCCAAGCCAAGCATGGTACATAATCCATTCGCGAAGAGCAGATGCCTGGTTCCACACCATTGTACACGCACAAAGCACGTATTTGCCCTCACTCTTCTTCTTCTCCTCAGACTTGAAACTGGAAATCTTGGCCACAGAAGGCACAAGCACATGTTCTTGAATTCGAGAACGACCATAGGTTATTATTCCAACAGTCACTCGTATTCCTCCTGCCTTGTCTGGGTTAGCTTGTACACTTCGTGGCAATGAACATCTCACAACCTCCTGAGCAGCTGTCAAAGCTTTCGTCCTCAGCACAAATCTCCCATCAATTTTCCGATTCCCCAACCCGAAATGGCAACTAAATTTCCTCGGATTGGATTCTCTATCCGACCTCAAATTCAATCCCTTCACAAACACCACAGCAGTATTCCCATCCAAACTAGCTGCATAAACCACATTTTCCCAAGAATGAACCGTCTGAATATTCATCAATGACCCAGTATCTTCCTCCAAGACTCCACTTTTACCTCTTCTTCCCAAATTTACCACAGATGAATAATTCATAGATGGAAGTGGGCACCTCACAATTGACCTACACTCATCATATTCATCTACAGACAACACATTTTGCTTAACCAAAATACTCGGATCTCTTTCTCCAGAACTCCCATTACTATTCCCTTCCAATACAGTTTTACCATAATAAACACATTCCAATTCTTTAGCACTCTTCTTTATCAACCCGTCTTTCTTTAAACTACTCACCAACAACAAAACATGATCAGGGAACAATACCCGGTTCTCAATTTTCCATGGAAATGTAATAAAACCATCAAATTCTTGGATTCTTTTAGCAATATTTGAACTAGAAGAAGCTAAGCTTGAAATCACTAAAACCGGTCGAAAAGCCAAAGAACTAAAAGGAATCGTATAAGATATAAGATACAGAAATATAAAGAAGCTGAAGGACAATACAAAAGATCTCACCGAAAACAAATATGTAGAAGATTGTGATGAATAATATGATGGTCTGAATATGCGTTTTCTCTTGCGTGAAGTATTCATTTTTTCCGTAAGCGAAATTCTTACAAGAATTGGATCAGATTAAGAAGGTTTAAGAAAGCATGGGAGAAAATTTGTTGAAGTGCAGATCGGCCTCTGCCGACAGTGGTTGTGTTCTTTTTCTGGTAATCGGGTACTTGCCAGAGAGAATAAAGGGTAGTGATAAGTGGACGCATTGGATTGGTTGATTTTTTATTATTTCATACATAAGGTAATTATAAGTTGTTGAAGATGGACCGTTACATTTACCTGAAGTCAACACACCGGCTAGTTTGTTGAAAGCTGTTTCTACAGTGGATTTTGGAATAATAGGTTCGATGGTATGGAGACTTGTATATGAGGGGCTCTAGCCGGCTGAACTGTGTTGCTGTCCGGGCCATGGCTCGATCTACCTCTAAAGGTCGATTGTGCTGGATTTGGCAATATGGCCGTAGGCTAATCCACTCGAAATTAAGATAAATTAGATTTGAAATCATTTTTGTAATCGAAACAATTGCGTCAAGTAGAAGTAGAAGCAAAAGATGTGATTTACGTACTTGGAGTTTGATGCCACTAAAAAATTGATTACGATTTACAATTTATTTGTAGCGTATTTAAGTCAATTAATCTCACTTTTAATTTTATAATAAATATATATTCAAAAATGATAGTGTTTAAGATATTAGTTGAAGCATTGTAAACATGTTGGATAAATATTATTAAACTAACATTATGAACAAACACGTTTGACATTTTTTTTAGGTGACGTTTCAATAATAAAGAACAAAATATATATTAAAAGGAAGAAATATTTGATAATGACCTAATATAGTTTTAAAAGATTGTCTACGTTAGCCATGATATTTTTTGACCCACGTATTTGATTACTATTGGTCATCGTCCATCAAACTATTTTTAATTAATAGTAATATCGTGCTCATGAAGTTATCTTATCCTTTATAGCTTATAATTAATAGTGACTAATACTACTTTTTTAATTTTAGTCTTCTACTGCCGGCCGGCTAAAGGAAACAAAAGGAAAGTTGAGAAGCAAAATTAATAGTTGCCATTTGGATAAGCAAATCGATATCAGCCTGCTATGACAATCATTGTTGTTTAAAAAATGAGTTTTGAATAGTAATTTTTAGAAGAATGTATATTTAAAAGTAAGAAAAAGTTTTAGCATACATGTAGAATAATTTATTGTATAAATGTGTGGTTAAAAATAATCATATAACAAACCGTAAAATAATTTTCTAGAATTGAAAGATTAAGATACTTCATAGGTAGTTTAGAAGTGTGTCCAAGCCATTGATGCCAAGTTTTTGGTGTAACTGAAGTGTTGTTGACAAGGATTCTTGATTTATCATCGTGTATTTGGCTTGGAAGATAGTAGAGGCCTTCATGCAATCTCTCCAAACCAATCCTCTTCCTCGTTGCCAAGTCCTAGATCACATACAAATTAGGGTAAAAGGTGATAGAACTGTTGACACACTAAAAGTGCAGCCCAAATCTAATAGCCTAAAGAGTGAAGTCCAATTGAGAAATTCAAGTTAAAGGTCCAAACAGGATTATTGATGAATGCGGTGGAAGTCCACGAATACGGTAACATCATCGTCCAATCTTGCAAGATGCCCAGAATCTGAGCGAATGGAATACCTTACGGTCGTCCAGAGTGATGACCCCGTTCTCGCCTAAACTTTCGAATCGCCCAGGATCTTAGCAAGCATAAAACATTATGGTTATCCAAAATAGCAGTTATTGAAACAGTTATTGAGTGATCTTATCACATTCCACAGTTCAAGGAGCCCAATTGAAGACGGTTGAACGACAAAGAGTAATGGCAACAGTTAGAGACGGAAGTTCTACGACAAGTTAGCCACTATAAAGAAAGTGGGTAGTTATGCAGCAATCAAGCAATTTCCAAGCGGTTTGTCACAAAGAAATCATCAAGTGAATATAAAAGGAAGAGAAGACATAGAGAAGAAAGGACGAATCAAACACTCTCAAATAGAGAATATATAATTTCGATTTCTTAGTTTAAACTTAAACACTTCTTTTAGTACTCGTGTGTTTGTGCCCCTTGGAGGCATTCTATTTATTTCCAATTGTAAATCATCGCCAATAAAACACCCCTTTTTGGGACTTTGTCTCAAGAGGTCTGTTCTTTACACAATCATCTAATCCCTTTTAAATTGTTAGCGACTACCACGCCAAGTGGGACGTTGGTGTTTGGTGTTGAAGATACAAAAGTTAAAATAATATGCCTCACAAATCTAATAAGGAAGCAGCAAGTCAGGGAAGAGTCCAGTCTGTGATCGAGCGATATGAGGAGCAGCAAAGCTCTCCACGAACAGAGCGACAGAGTCAGAGTAGTCACAGTCGTTACGAACCAATGACAGAGTTGAGTCCTCAAACTATGCGTGCATTGCTTGGAGAAATCACACAGGATGTCGTTGAACAAGTAAATCTATGAAATGTTCATAATATGGAAAGATTTACTCAGAATGGGAGTGCACATTATGACAACATGGCCAAACAACTGAATACATTAAATGAAATAATGAATAAGTTAGTAGGCCAAATTTGTTAACCAGTTGTGCCTATTGCAAATCACTTTCAAATTAGGACGATCGTGGGACATAATTCCCTAGTCCTAAGTCCAAATCAGGGGATAGAACCACCTTTTGGTCCACCTACTTCAAACCAGGATGATGGTGTAATGCCAAATTAGAATAGTAGTAATGGTACATCTAACTTGGGGGTAATCTAAATATAAGAGACAATATCCTAAATAATGGACAGAATACCCCACGTGTCAATGATGGAATAAATATTCAGGCTAATGGTAACAATGACCCAAATCATGGCAACTTTGTTGCCAACTAAGGACCAAATATCAGGCCTCAGGCAAATCAACCGACCAACCAACCTGTAGGAATTCCATATGACCTAACGTTATGTTGAGAAATCAAATTATGGAAATAGTACATGATCAAATGGCTTTTAGGGTACATCCTGTCATTAGGCCTACTTACACAAAGCCATACCTTGATTGGGTAGACCAAGCATATCCATGGCCTAGAGGGTATAAAGTGCCAGAATTCTCATTATTTATCGGTTTAGGAGAGGTGTCTACTCTAGAACACATAGGGCGATTCACGCTGCAAAATGGAGAAGTAACCGACTACCATAAAATGAGGTTGTTCCCTAGTTCATTAATAGAGTAGCTTTCTCTTGATTCATCAATTTGCCAGCGAACTCTGTTCAAACATGGCAACAATTGGAGCAATTGTTCCATGCTCAGTTTTATAAGATTGAGTCTGAAGTTATTTTGGTCGATTTGGCGAATCTACATCAAATGCCAAACGAATGGGCAGAAGGTTTTTTTCAAAGGTTCAAGACAGCAAGAAGTAAATGTTTTGTACCTCTGCCCGAAAAGGAGTTTGTCAAAATCGCTCAAAATTATCTAAGCTTTGATTTGAAAAAGAAATTCCAAGACAGGGAATTTCCTGATCTTTTTCAATTGAGCGCAAACGTGATTAGGTATGAACGATTAATAAGAGAAGAAGAGCAAATGAAAAATTCTAGTAAGGGGACTTATTATAGACCCAAATTTTAATGTTCATACCATTAATGACGAGTATTACGATCAAACCGAAATGTGTTTGGCCGAAATAATCAAAGGAGACACATATACTTGTCCTATAATGGCTAAGCCTAGATCGTCGGACAAGGATGAGCCTATAAAAGATGAAAACAAAAAGGCTAGAACGTTCTCGTTCGATGTAACCAAAGCTGACCTTATATTTGATAAACTATATACGGACAAGCAGATAAAGCTGAGCGATAAACATAAGTTGCCAAGCCCTGAACAAATCAAGGGTAAAAAATATTGTAAGTGGCATAATGCATGGTCGCATTTGACTAACAACTATTTGGTTTTTCGCCATGTGTTACAGGACGCCATTGAATCAGGACGAATTACGTTCGAGGATAAGAAGAAGATGGCAGTGGATGAAAACCCTTTTCCACAACCACTTGGGGTGAACATGGTGACGATTGGTTTCAAAAACAAGTTACCAAAATCAAGTTAGTTATAGATGACGGAGAAGAGGGCCCTGAGCCACACCCCAGTGTCTTTGAACGTATCAAAGGGAAGGAGCCTAAAAAGGATGAAGATGTCCTGTGTGCAAGATGTAAAAGAGAAGTGAGTACAAATACAAAGAATCCAGGGATATGGCAGCATCACCATCGCCCTATTTTTTTCCCAAACGCTCAGCCTGGTAGAGGGCGAGGTACATCATTCTATAGGGGACCGCCTTTTGAGAGGCAATTCAGGTCAATAAATAATGGGAGAACATTCAGGCGCAACCTCGCCAACCAAATGTATGGCATTCGTTCCAATATAATGCAGGAAGGGTAATACCCTTTAACGAGATGACCAGAACCCAACAAAGGCGTTTTCAATCAAAATGTTCTCGAAGACAGTGAGGAGACTGGTACAAGTGAATCGATGAAAGAATTGCCAGAGAGTTCTTCTGGGAGATCGAAGTTTAAGCGAGGCAGAAGGGATGGAGAAGATCCAGATCAACCCCTTACTATTCAGTTCGGTACGTTACCTCCTGTCATGGCTAATAACTATTTACTAGCCAATGAGTTCAAGAACAAAGAGAAAGAAGAAGAAGAGAGGAAGGATAACGAGGAAGAAGCATGTGTGCTAGAATGTGAAGCAGGCCAAACTTCTAAAGGGGCCTACAATGGTGAAGAGGATGATGGTATGGCGGACATCATAGAGGAAATTGATTTGGAAGCCGAAAGAAGAAAGAGGGGAGTATCGCACAATACTCTGTTGAAGCAACTAAATCGAGAGGGAGTTCGTGAAGTGGATTTGTTGGGGGAACCATCTGGGCGTTCTTTCGATTATTACGTGCTGTACGGGACACCCAAGAGGAAAAAGAGAATACCTCGCTCTGAAAAGTATGGATCACCTCTTAAGAATAATGCCTCATCCCACATGTTAGGTAATCGAAGAAGAAGCATTAGAAAACAATAAAAAGGAAATTCAAGAAGTGGAAGCTCAGTGCGACATACTACACGTTGACTTATCACAAAAGGATAATTCAACAGATAACAAGCAGGAAGTGGAAATAGATGCTGCCGAAAAGATTATTTTTAAGAGACCAGCCATGAAGTTAACTAAACACTTGA